GGCTTGGGCCAAAACGTGCGTCCGCACGCCAGACCTGTCGCGTGCAATGAGCAAAGCCCACATGTGGATGTCGCGTGGACGTTCAGCACAAGAGTCCACACATGTCCACACCATTTTCTGCCAATGGCATGTCAGGCGTTGCCATTGGAAGCTTTCAGCGCTTGCACCTGCAAACATCCCAGCATCAAGGTGACGCTCACATCATGTGTAGAATCCGACGATCACGAGATCAATTGGAAGTTTGTAAATGTCCAAAAGCCGCAATGCAAAGCAAGTGCCCACGTGAAGGGGAGAAGAACCACATCACAGCTGAAGGGGCACATTCCGAACCCGAGAATGCTTTGAACTCCCAACCTGCCTGTTCGCTCAGCTGTTGCCGCTCAGCCTGTAAAGCCTTGCAGCGCCTGAGGATGCCAGGGTCAGATGCGGGGTGTAGGCGGATTGTGCAAGTACTCCGAATTGTAGCCCGACAGGACAATGACACTAACAAGTTAGATCGAGGTTCAACATTCAGAGTCACAGGGGTCTTCTTACTTTAAACTATCCACAGTTTGAAGTGAAGCGGCTACCTTCCTAGCTCGCACTTGCGGCCGCATCGTCAGCAAAGACCGAATACGTGTACCATCACAAGCCCTAAACCCGGATTTCTCCCGTATTTGAGTATTAGTCTTTCGGAGCCCGACACTGGCCCAGTCGGGTCCACAGTCTTCGTGATTGTCTGCTTGCTAATGCAAGTCTTCGAGCTGTTTGTGTGCTCTTTCACTATTTGAGCTGACTTACGTACAAAGCTGTTGAGGCAATCCATCGGTCCACCTGCAGCGAGTCTAAACTGAGAGTCAGACTCCTGCATGTCTGCCTTCTCTTTGATGAGGGCATCTCGCTCCTGGATCAGCTGATGTAGCCAGGACATACATGCAGCGGCTTCAACCCAAAGTTTGATCCTATGGCCTAGGGGTTGCTTCCGGATCGATAGTACACAGACTGAAAGAGCACTCCCCCTGCCCTGCCAGCCGACCTTGAGCACCTGGGCCTCCTTCCGCTCGTTGCGGACGCGGAGCTCCGCGTTCTCTTTCTGGAGGACCTTACCCCTGAACCCTAAACCGCCGAAAGACAAAGCAAACATGTCCAGGGACGTGGCCTCGGTCCGTCGTTGCATTCGGCCTTTCTGCCGCTTGTATTGCCCAAGCACCTGGGCCCGACATTCGAGTCGCCTGCTTCGGATACAAGTACCTTCAGCCGTCGCAGACCAACCGTGAACCCTGAGACACTCGAACTATGAATTGCAGACCGCAATCCTGAATCTCATGTTTTTGATCATTCGAGGCCTGCATATTATTCAGCATGACCGTGGTTACTTGCCACGAACTCGATGTTCTCGGTAGAAGCAGCCCGAGTTCAACTACCTCTGCTGATGCCCAGGCTGGCTTACAGGACTGTCAATACTACCTTCTGGTTTCGGGTTTCATGACTCCGCTTCTTCTCATGAAGTACATGCTTGCTTGAACCCGTTGCTGTTAAGCGCGTAAAATCTATCGCGACAGCGACCTTTTTCTGACTTTACTTTCCGGTCGAACTTGCCGGAGCCGCTGAGAATTTGCCGGCACCCAGACACACAAGGCCGCGGCTTTGTCAGATTTCGACAGAGCATCCTGGCACAGAGCCCAGACTCAGACTTTGCAATCACATGCCAAGTTCAAAACGAAGGCCCAAGCCTTCATAAAACGCTAAGCTTGTGGAACCCGACCCTCAGATCCCAAGGCAGGGCCTGCAAGGGCCTGGGCCTGAGCTCTACGAGGGTTTGCAGACCTTAAGCCCTTGGCCACAACGATTCACACCTCCAAGGCTAATGGTCGGAAAGATCGCAACGAATGTAGCGGCCATTGTTGGAGAAGCAACTAAACATGTCGTTCGAATGACAAAAAGTGGTCTTTATAAGGACAAGAACACTGCCACAATGATCGGCCTGGAAGTTAGAAAACTTGGTCCCGTAGGTCTGCAGCTGTTGGCGGAGGGCCTGCCCAGGTGATGCGTGAGGTCTCTGGCAGAATAGGCCGTGGATTGTAAGTAACACGAACTACAGCCACAGTCGAAGACGTGGGTTTGGGGTTTACTTGGGGTGCAAATCCTTCAAGAGGGCGCAAGTGGGTGAGTGAAAGATACCTGCAATCCGGCCACCTGCCTGCTCAGCTTGCGTAAGCTGCTCGTTTTCCTCAGTGGCGATAGCATGTTGCAGTTGATGTCGTTTCTGCAGTGCATGCAGCATGGATGGGTATTTGAATCTCTCCGCCTTTGATTACAGACATCGGCGCCAGTTTGCAATCATTGCATTGGGGCGGGTCTGCTTAAAAAGCTTCAGGCACACCCAGAAATAAGCCCCGAATCGCAGCTCTGGTGAAAAAATATGGAAACTGTGAAGCAATAGAACATGCATGCGTGAAATCTGGCAATAACCTTTCGGGAGATCAAAACCAAAAGATAAGCCTGAAATCTATGTTCGAGCCGTCTTCCAGGGATTTGGAAACGCAGAATCAAAAACAAAACTTTCGACAATGAATAGTTGTTACGGAGAAGTCACAGGCCGTGGGGCTCCTCGGACTGGACTCATAGTTGCTTGTTGATAGAACGACGGTGTCCATCAACACACACTTCCATATGAACAGGATGTGCGGCTGTGGTCTGGCGTGCTTGCCTGTTGACATCTCGCTTTAAGAGTTCAGGCTTTTGGCTTCCCATGCAACATCTCTTTGCATGCACGGTTTGACACCCACTATCTCCTCTTTGGGTTTTGGGCCTTCCAACATCTCCTCTTGGGGATGAGGCTTCCCCAGCTAACATCTCCTTGCAGGCTTTGGGGCTCTCCGTTCATACGTTCTTGACTGTGGAACGGCTCATGGTTTATGGCAAAGTTTATGGCTTGCCGCAAACATATCCTTTCAGGGTGAAGCGGCTTGCCAGCCAACTTTCCTTCTCGCCCCAGCCAACATCCCCATTGCGGCGAAACGTTTGCCAGCGAACATCTCCTGTTAGAGTACAAATACGCCCCGTTCATCGTCGCACCTCCCAGCACTTGAACTCTGTCTCGCGAATTTAAGGCTATCGAGCTGCAGTGCTCATGATCTGTGTGTGAACTATGAACGAACAATATCGGATATTTCATGCTCAATCTGGGCGAGTGCAGTCTTCAGCGACGAAACATGGTCATGATCTGTGAGCGAACATCTGAATCACATCGGAAGTTTCTCAATTGTGGCAAACCATATCCTCAGCTGCAGTGATCAGACGGGTCGCCATCTTTGCTTTCCGCTCCCGCTCGGCCTCTGCTCCCAATCAAGAAGCAAATTTAGGATCTCAGGTGTGGAATCGAGGGTTTGGGATTCATGTCTCCCAGTTCCATGTATATCCATTTCCTACCACACCCCGACTGCTCTTGAAAAAAATAGTCTCTCGCTCAGTTTCCGTGAATCTCGTGAGATGCTGCACTCAAGCGCGCCTCGACGCGGTAGGCCCTGGCTGCTTCGGTGAGCCTGGTGAGGTCAGCAAGAGGAAGCCCGGAGTAGTAGTAGTAGTAGTAGTAGTAGTAGTAGTAGTAGCAGTAGTAGCCGTAGCAG